CAACTTAGTTTTGCCCATGGTGAAGAAACTGAGATGCAGAAAGAATAAGATTTCCTGGGCTTCTCGCGGTCAGCCTGCTCACTGTCTAATGCTGCTCTGTCCCATGAAGCCGAGTGAAGAGTGGCTGGTGCAGCGTAAAGATCCTAAGGAGATGGCAGAAACACTGTCTAGGGCCAATTTGGGATCAATACTATTTCGAGCGAATAAATCCATGATGAAATGTAACATCGATAGCTGTGAGACACAAACTCTCAGAGTCAAGGTCAAGCTGCTTCAAAGGCAATTGCATTGACAGGGGCCACTAACCTGACTTGAGTACCAGGGGCCGGGCATGGTTATTAGTAGTAAGTCACAAAAGGCAGGAGTCTCCTCTTCCTGAAGGTGAACGACTTCACCCTTTAAATATGTTTTGATGGAGAATTTCGATAGGTCAGGTATAGGAAGAATGAATCACACAACACTGTAGTAGTGGGATTGCTTGTCATCAGGGGAGACAGAAGAAATGCTTCAGCAATCCTCTAAAATACATCTTCAGAGTGCATGCTAGAATGGTGGGCACACAGGGCCACAGCAGGCGACAGCTAAGCCTGGAATGCTTAGTAGACCTTTCAGCTAAGGTTCTAGGCTTCAACCAAAAAATGAGCACTGGAGTAGCCGGAACTGTCACTAAAAGAGCTCTTTATGGCTCTGATCGTGTCCACTACACCTGTAATCACTGAAAATGCTCATCAGAAGCAGCATTTCTGAACACCAAGAACCTGTGTATGGACACAGCTAAGGATAGATGTACAGGTTGGGTAGCCTTTCTTTTGACTTCTCTGGCTTGTCACTTTGTAAAGAAAAGAAATATATGACTTGAACACAAAGTAAGGCACCTCGTATGGCAGCTTTTCTCCCCCCTTAGATTGACTTGTTCGAATTGGATAGCTACATCAACTCTTTCCAGCCTGAAAAGTAGAGATGTTTTTTCAAACCCTTTTTCATGTCAGTCTTTCAAAGGATTATATTCCTTAAGACACCATCCTGATGAAAAACAGTGTCTTTCTTCTAATGCCCAAAACTCCCATGAGCGTGATTCCCACTTTGCTTGGAAAGCAAACTCATGCACACAAAATATTTTAGTGTGTTTGACTGTGTAAGGCATTGGGATAACCTTTGTAAAATGGAAGGGAACAAGACTCAAAGATAAGACAATCTTTAGACTCATGAAGTTAAATCTTTCTATGGAGAATAAGCTATGCATATCAATATTCTTAATAGAACGTAGCCTGTGAGAAAGACAGACAAGGCCCTATGTGCATTTATAGGAGAAAGAGGGCTTTATAAGCTAATCCTCTAGCTTCCAGGAGGTAATACCACATTGACAGGGGCCGGGGTTGGGGAGTTACATTTCACATGCAAAGAAAAAATTAATACAGTGATTTTGCTAAATATTCAAATTAGCATTCTTGAAATATTATTTTAATGTCTTTTCCCACTCTTACACTTTCACCAATTTATGATCATGGTTCACTGTTTCTTTCACCTTTAGCTTTTCGGTAAGACTTCCTTCATTGATCTGTTGATTCCTTCTGGTTTCTTTGACCTGACATGTCTTCAAAGACAGAAATCAATTGGTTTATCCCAGGATCAGATGATCACTACATTCTCAGGGTAACTTTTCACTAGACACGGCTACTGCTGAAAAAAAAACAGGGGGCGTTCAAGGTATTCTTTGGACCTCTAAGTAAAAGTTTTCAATTCGGTTGTAATTTTTTCCCTTGAAGCAAGGGAGAGTCTTTAATGTGTTGCCAGACAGTGTATGGTCCTCGGATATGGCCCATGCAGAGGGAGTGAAAGGGAGGGGTGAAGAAAATACACAAGGAAGAAGATAGGCAAGGAAATAATTTTGTCCTCTATGTATTGACCTTAACCTTCTTGAATTGCTTTATTTGATATTTTTTTCCTAATACCCTCAATATTCAAACTTTCCTTTGTTATGAAATTCCTTCACCTTCTTATCCTTAAGAAGTGTCTTTTTCAGTCCTCCCATTCATTCATCCATCAACTACTAACTAAATAATAACATGAAGTAATACTCGGCATGGTTCCAGCCACTAGAATACATTGGCAAATAAAAGTTATACCCTAGTTGAAGTAGATATTTAATAAACAGGCAAAAACTCAAAAATGAATAAAGTGTGTAATTTCAGATACCAACAGATAATGTAAAAAACATAAAACAGGAAAAGTGTGAGGCCTGGCAGTTAGACAGGCTCGGTTCATGTAGAGCCTTTGGTAAAGAGTTTGGGTTTTATTTTCTTGGTAATGGCAAGCCAATGGACGTTTTAAAACAAGGAATGAGAATGATCAGACTGATGTTTTAGAAGGATGATTCTGGCTGCTGTGTGGAGAATGGACTGTATGTGGATAAGAGTAGGAGCTGGGAGGCCACTAGGAGGTGGTTGCAAGAATGTGGATGAGGGATGATGTTGGCTTGGACGAGGATGGTAGCAATGACCAGGATTGAAATATATTTTGGATATACAGCCACCAACAGGAATGAGGGTTTGCATAAAATGAAAACAGGACTCAAACGTGCTTCCCCGCCATGGGCCCTGAGCAATAAGGTAGATCAAATCCCTTTGCAGAGGAATGTTTGTTGTTTCTTAATACCTGTGTATTCATTTGTCTTCCGTTTCTAGCACTGGTATGTGTGCCCAGATGATGAAGTGGTTACATGATAAAGAGTTCAAGTGTGATTCGGGGAGAAATCCGTGGATGAGACTCACATTTTTACACCTTCCAAAATCATATATCCAATCACATATTTGTTACCTTCCCTTGGATTTCTAAGAGACATTTTAAGAGACATCATTGCTGCCACCCTTGTCTTCGTCTTGGACAAACACAACAGCCTCTTAACTGGTCTAGCTTGTCTTGCTCTATTTTCCCCAGTCCTTCTCGTAACAGCCTCATAACAGCCTGAGGAATCTTTTAAAATCATGACTCCCTTTCCTACCTGAAGTCCTCCAGTGGCTTTCCATTGTGCCTGGAATGAATTCAGTCAGCTTGCCTTTCTTTCTGAGATCGAAGGACATCTGGCTAGCTCAGTGTCTCCAGCTCCAGCAGCTACTCCTCCCCAGCCTCATTCTCTCTGCCTTTCTGTCTGCTCCTTGAACGTGTCCAGCTCGTTACTGCATCTGGATTTCTCTTCTGTTCTCTCTGCCTCAAGTGCTCTTTCTGTAGCCCTTCACATGGTTTCTTCCTTCTCATTCTTCGGGTCTCTCATCCTATATCCCATCCTCAGAGAGGCTGTCCAGGACCACACTATGAACCAGATATGTGCGATGACACGCTAGAGCAGTACCTTGTTTGCATTTCTTTCCTAGTGGTCTCCGTGAAATGATTTATTTCACCACTGACTCCCCAGTATCTAAAACAATGTTGGCACATAGTAGGCACTCACAAAGATTTTGTTGAATATGTGAACTTTCATTTTATGCAAAATGTGGACAGCAAAGAATTGGACTGAAGCCCGGTATGAAGAAACGACAACACATGTCACATGCAGTGACCAACAGACACGGCATATAATAGTATTACTTAGCATTTTGAAATTTAGAACCAGAAATGTTAGAATAACTGCCATAATAATTTGGAGAAAAGACAATAAGGAAGGCAGAACAAAAGACAAAATTAGCATATACTATATAAACATATGGGTGGTATTAAATATACTAATCTATATACTGCCCAGTGTCTGCAATATGTTAAACCATCAGTAAATTTTTGTTGAGTAAATGAATGAATGAATAACTATGATCTAGCAGCCTGCAAATGGTTAGACCAAAGGTGAAAACGAAATGATTAAATTTTTACTAATGGCCATATTCTGTTGAGAGGGGAAAAAATACAGTTTACTTGAAGCAGCCCCATATTAACCAGAACTGGCTTTGGTATGATAACAATGGAAGTAGAGAGAACCCCCTCCTACATCTTGTTCCCTGTGAGCCATGGCCCTTGCAGGTCATCTTACCTGCTCAGTCAGAGGGAGACGCCTCACTCCTGCCCCTGAGGTGCTCCATTAGACCAGCCAAATAAGTCAGACTACCAAATACGCACCATTCCTAATTACCCAGATAACTAGTGAACACCCAACATAGTAATTTTACACTGGTTTCCTGTTTCTTGACTCTCTTATTATTATTAGACAATATAAACTGAGTTTATTAACCAAAGTCAGGCAAATGTTTTGATTAAAATGACTATTTACACTAATAGTTGTTTTTAAAAACAGCTGAATTAAGGGTAAATAAATTACTTTTTTAAATTTTTGTTTCTCTTATTTTAAAAAATTTTTAAGACTTCTTATTAAAATAAGGCTAACGTACAATATTATATTAGTTTCAGGTGTACATTATAGTTATTGAACAATACCCACCTAGCTCTACACAGTGTCATTACCACATTATTTATATTTCCTATGTTAAAGAAATGATCACCATGATAAGTTCAGCAAACGTCTGACACTGTAGCATGCTATCACATTATTGATCTTTTCCCCCCTTTAAAAAATTTTCAGCTAGAGTTGACATTCAATATTATTTTTATTAGTTTCAAGTGTATTGCGTAGTGGTTAGACACTTACATAATTTAGGAAGTGATCCCCCTGACTAGTCTAGTATTCACCTGGCACTATAGTTTGTACGATTATCATTGACTATATTCTCTGTGCTGTTTTACACCCTCATGACTGTTTTGTATTTTCTGTTTTTAAGAAGTGCTAAATCAAAATGACAAAGGAAAATAAGACATCTTTATATCTAATGGAAATAAGCTACCTTTTCTAGGAAACAGCAAATTAAAACCAATACCATATTAAAATAGGTGTATTTAAATATCAGAAAAGTTTTCACAAGAAAATGAACAATTCATACAAGTGATCAATTCTAACCATTCAAAGTAATGACAATTAGCATAATACCACTAACAGGAATAATATACAAATCAATCCTTACCAAGCCACCTCCAATGACAGCTACTTTTTTCCTTTGCATGTCAGATGAATCCATACCTGCAGAAGGGTTTTTCACAGCCGTAGCTCCTGCCGCGGATAACACTGTCTCTCCCCCACACACACTTACCCCAGTCTTTATACTGGCCAAGGCCCAGCATCTGTGAGCCAACAGCATTGTTTGAGCAGGGCTAATTTCCCTTGAACCTAGAGGTAGCATTTAACCTGTTCGTAGCCCAAAGGACGGTCAGCTCCGCTTTAAGGGAAAAAAAAGAAAATTCGTTACATTAACCAAAGGTTGAAAAACCCAGCCAAGTGAAGGCACTCTACCTTATGTGTAGACACAGAATTTTTTAAAACACCGTCTTAGGGCTTTTCTTCTTCTTTTTCTACCGCACTTATTCCTACTTTCATTTTCAGTCATGATTAACCATGAATGAAACTCCCCTCCCCTGGTCTGAAGCTCCAAAGCAACTTTTACTTCTCTTAGAGAGTAAGATGCTGTGGTTTCATAACTGATTAGTAAATTACTCGTGTTAAGGCAAACCAGGAATTTCACCTGAGGGCTCCTCACGGATTGCCTTGACAGACTAGTTTTTGCCTAGTTTTAATATTCTCCTCGGGCAAGATTTTCAACTGTGGAACTGATACTTCCTTTTTTTTTTTTTCTTCTCCTTCACCCAACGCAAGTAACCTTAGAATCTAATTTGTGCATTATTATTAGAGGAGATGATTAATACCATGCTTCTTGTAAACTCGTTCCTGATTTCATATGATCTCGCCACTTCTTTGTCTTCTTTCATCCTATTTTAAATATATATTATTTATTTCTTCTGCATATTTGTGAATGGGAATTTTTTTTTTCTGGAACATGATGTGGTGTGAGATAAAGTAAGAACATAAATGATGACGCTTCTTCATTTCCTAGGAAGAGCCTGACAATTCAGAACGGTTTTTCCCTGGTTAGGGATTGAATATCATTCAATAGTGACCCCTTGTGGATAAGTATAGAGTTCCTAGAAAACTTTTGTTAGGTATTTTTATTTACTTATTGTGAATAGGTGATACATTCACACGGTATGAAATTAAAAAAAAATGACACAAAGTGTGTAGTCTTTCTTCTAATTCTGTTTTTGGCCACATGTTTTCCTGCCCAGAGACACCACTGTTTGGGAATTGGATTATCCTATTCTTATACAAGCATCTCTCTGTGTCTCCTCACCCTCTTCCTTCCTCACCATACATAGTAGCAAATTTGACATACTTCCCACACCTTTGTTATTTCATTACACGACACAAAGCTGGAGGATTCCTCAGTACCAAAATTTAGGAAACTGTCTCATTCATTTTTTAAAATGATTGTCTATAGCCCAAAAAGGTAAAGTATGAAAGATGCAAGTGTACAGTACAAGACCTTCTTGTAAAGTAAACACTCATGTCACCGCCACTCAGCCCCCAAAAAACAATATGTCAAAACCCCAGAAGTCCACACGTGTCCGTTACCTATCATCTCTCTTTTGCAGAGGTAACTGCCATCCCGACTTTACATTTTTTTGCTTTTATTTATAATGTTACTACCATACATGCATCTGTAAAATGGTATAGTTTTTTAGTTTTGCCTCTTTTTGAACTTTATTACAAACAAAATGCTTTTTTGTGTGTGTACAACTTACTTCTTTTTCTCAATATTATGCTTCTTAAGATCCATCTGTGTTGTTACATGTAGTTTGACTTAATTCATTTTCATTGTCGTATATTATTTATCCATTGTACTATTGATGGACATCTGGGTGTTTCCAACTGTTTAATATTACAAATAATGCTGCCTCTATGACCAATCTTGTATATATAATGTAGCGCACGTATGTATTAGTATTTCTGGAATTTAGATTTTATTATTATAAAGCAACCACTTTATCTCAAGGAATGATTTATGCCTTAAATTGCCTGGTATCAATATTACCTTTCTGTATTAGGTTAGCAGTTACATATTATATCTTCTTCAACCCTTTGATTCCAACTAGTACATTTATGTTTTAAGTATGGCCTTTTTAAACAGCGTTCAGTTGAATGTTTTAAATATCTGGGCCGGCCAAGTGACTCAGTTGGTTAAGAGCTCGTCAAGAGTGTGAGCTCTGAGCAACAGGGTCGCCAGTTCGATTCCTGGCCCGAGCTGAGCTGCCAACAGCTACCAACAGGTGGCAGGATGGCTCAGCTAAAAAAAAATAATAATGAAATAAAAATAAAAAATAAAAAATTCCAAAAAGAGGATACCTTTATAGTCTGTTTTACTTTACAGGAGACACTGAATATTTCCACTTACATTTATAAATTTAATAAACCAACATTATTAGCAGAGAGTAGTCAACACAGTATTTGCTCTGTTGTTTTCATCATTCTCAGACTGTTGACATTGACAGAATATTGTCTCACTTTGTTTGATGAACTCAGCTTGCTCAAAACATGTTTATTCATTTTACCCTTGTAGTGTCTTGGAGCTCTCGGCCTGGATGCTCTTCTCCTATCTTTGTATGGCTGGTTCTCAGTGTTCAGGTCTCAGCCCGAACACAATGTTTTTAGTTTGCTCACTGTATCTAAAAGATGTACGTATTGCAACATTCTTTAAATATGTTCCTGTTTATTTTTTTTATTAAATGTTCTATTGCATGAAATTTACTATTCTGTGAAACCTGGTTTATTGATTTACTTATTTGATTAACAAATAAATATTAGTGGAAGTGAAAAGAGAGAGAGGTAGATGGACTGAAGGTATAATTCTGAGGCAGAACGGCAGGAGTTGCTGGTAAACTGGGCATAATGTACGCATGTGTGGGGAATAGGGGCCGAGTTCAGGAAGCAAGGAAGACTCCAAGGTTTCCGCTTGAAAACAGGCGATACAATTTACTGAGTATGACATAACGGGATGGGGGTGGTAAGTGAGATATCCTTTGAGGTATATTAGTTTGAGATTTGAGTATTGAGTTAGATAATTAAATAGATATTAAGTATACAGTTGGCTATATGAATCTGGAACACAGAAGAGGAGTCAAGGCTGGAAAAATAAGTTTGGAGTCATGAGCACATCAGCATAAAAATGGTATTGAAAACTATGTGAATGGATACCTCACCTAGTGAGATAGGATTGACTGAGAAGATGGCTGAGAAAGAGAATAGCATGTGTATTTCAATACCATTGACATAACATTTTTTAAATGCACAAAACAATGGTATATATTTTATAAGACTACGTATGAATAAAGTTATACATAATAAAGACATGATAACAGTTCCCTAGGGGTCTGAAAGGAGAAAAGGTGGAGGGAATGAATAGAAAATATTTATGTAAAATAAGAATGGACCTTATACTCTACAACGTGCCATAAAGTTAGGGTTGTGGTTAACTCAACCCTCTCTACCTAAAGGTCATCTGCAACTGAGCCCTGTGGCACTTCCTCATTTACAAGTGAAGAGCTAGCAAAGAAGAGTGTCAAGGAATAGTCAGTAAAATAAGGGGAGAGAGCACTCATGTTGCAATGATCAAGAAAGAGAGATTGCTAAGTGGAAGAAGTGTCAGTTACATCAATGCTGCCAAAAATATAGACATTGCCTATTCAGTTTACAACTTGCGGTCATTGGTGACTTTGACAAGAGCGCAATGAGTGGAGTCATGTGTACTGAAGGCAGATTTTGTAACCATACCCCACACGCCAGGCCCTCTGCTCATCTCCACAAGTTAGATCCTTTGCTTTTCCCCTAACAAAGCTATACTAACCTACCCATTCCATGGCAGACATAAGCTGCTTAATGTTTAACCTGTGGAGCTCAGGGAGACTGTGATCTGTTCCAGGGTCACTAACTTGTGACCTATTGGTCATACAACAGTTTTAGGAAAACTATATAAATAACATCTCAATTCAATGTCTCTGCTTCTTCAAAGAAAAGAATGGTCACAGGACAGTAATTTACAAGTTTACTTCACAGAAAACAATGGAGGCTCAAGACCATCCCTGATGCATGTGACTCTCTCATAAGTCTTAGAATCTACTCCTTAACCTAATCAAGAGACCTAAGACCACAGGAATTTATCCTAACTCCCCCCTCCCACTCCCCTTCTCCAGTCTATAAATCCTTAACCTAGTCCAGCAGATAAGGTGGATTTGAGGCACTGTTAGGTCTCTCACTTCTTGGTTGGCACCTTCTCAATCAATCAATTTTCCTTACTCCAAACTCTACTGTTTTGAGGTTTGGCCTTTTAAAGTGTTGGGCACAGGAACTTGGGTTCTGTAAGCATTGTGATAAGTTGCAGAGAGAATGAGAGATGAAGAAGTGAAGGTAGGAAGCAAAGACGTCCTAGAAATGGGGTGGTAGTTGAAGCAGGAAGCAAAGTCAAGGCAGTTTGTTTTTAAAATGGCAGGTAATGCAGCAAGGTTCCAACACTGCTTCATGGCGATGGTCCAATAAAGCGACATAAACTGATGATGGAGGGAAAGGGTAGAAAATCAAAGGGGTAATGTCCTTGAGAGGCTATGGAATCCAGCATCTTAGTAGAAGATTGGATTTTTTTTTCTTTATTTTTCTTGGGGAATGGAGAGAGTTGGCTAAGTTGTCTTGTTGCTGTAAATTTTAGTGTTTTTCAAAGTTATTGTGCATGAACATAGTTTTAAAAATCAAAAAGTTCTACAAGATATTCAACATAAACAGTGATTGCTCTCTCTACCTTTCTGCCATTTGTCCCTGTACAGAAAGAACCATGAATTCCAACTCCAGAGTATATATGTCCATAATCTCTAAATAACATGCCAACATTGATACTTCTTGTTTTTTGTGTGTTTTTTTTCAGTTTGTGGTTTTAAGTCATGACTTCCCAATCTTGAAGATGAGGGTTCATGTTTTTTCATTTCTCCATTGTTTTAATGTCATTGTATCATAATATTGGTTAGATCAGAATTCAACATTTGGATTATTGTAGCTGTGGTCATTCAAATTTAATAATGATTTTCCCTTTCCTGCAAACCACAACTATGTTTATTTCTCAATGTAACTATTGCTTTTTTTTTATTGCTGAATTTTCTAAGACATCATAAATTCAATCCCCAAACTCTCCCTCAGTTATCTAAATCTTTTATGAATACATTCAAAGAGTTAGATACTTTATATTCTT